TATATATATATATATATATATATATATATATATATATATATATATATATATATATTTAAATTTATTTACCTGATTTTATCTAAGTTTTCCTAATTACAGAAATTAACTAAAGTTTTTTACAAAATATATACAATTCGGTCAAAATCTACAATATATCTACAACTTAAATACAAACTTTTTGTATAGAATCTGGTCAAAAACTATAATTTACATACAATTTATATATAATTTATATATAATTATGTTAATTATATATATTTTGTATGTCATTTCTACATCCGACATACAAAATATATACAATTTGCTTATGTCTTTTTTTCGAGATTCAATCAGAAATTTCAACCAAAATCACTTCGAATCTTCACCAAATTCTCTCAAAATTGAGATACAAATCTCAAGAATATTCCTAATCATTTGCCACAACACTCAATCCAAGCAAATAACAATTTCATCAAACTTGATTTTCGAATTCAAAGCTTTAAAACTTTTAATGGCTTTCAATGGAGTTTCTTTCCACTACCACATATGTCAATGAATAGCGAATATAATAATATAATAAACAAAAATATATGACTAGTAGTATATAATTGAACATTACAAAAATGAATAGCGAATACAATAATATATAAACAAAAATTTATGACTAGTAGTATATAATTGAACATTACAAATTAACCCAGATCAGCAGTTATTCAAAGTTTCCGTGATGCTACACAAAGTTATCAACTTAAGCTTCCATCGGTAAGAAAGTTCATATAAAAATGGTACAACAATGCCAAGTACAGAAATATATATTTGTATCTAGAATTTTAAGTATTAAGAAGATTTCTCCTATTTAATTAAATAAGAAACAACCTAAGAAGAAGAAAAAAAGTAACTTTGTATAAGAAACATCGAAATATTGTATCCTAAATATCTACGTATGTGGGATTGAGTTGGGTGTAATGGAGGAAGAAGAGGGAGAAAAAGGAGAAGATTGGACTCTAATATATTATTTTGTATATAATTGATAAATCGTATATCAACTTGTAATTAAGTTAAAACTGCAATAGTGAGGATAAATAAGTTTTAAAAATAATATAGATAGGTAAAAATCACAAATAAGATTAATGTGACAAAAATAATTTTAAGACTATACTATTATAATAAGAAAAATCAGTGAACAATAATACATGATATTATCTTCAATATGGTGAAGCCAAAAGGGAGACAATTTTGCTGTCTAATCAAATTCGAAATAAACGCTTAAGGCATTAGTGTGCAAGTAGAGAGCATTCCAAAAATAAACCGCAGGGAGCGTATGAATACTTGAATTTTAGCTTTTGAGTCGGTTATGAGTTATGGTCAACAACAATACGAATTACAAACTTAAAGATTGTAGAAATAAAGTGTTATCGGCAAACGGATTTGTCAATAAAGAATCAGATGTAGGTCGAACTAAGAATGTTGACTGTGGCAAGGAACAAATGAAATATTAGTATATGATAACCAAGAAGATTATTGATGGATTCTTATTTTCTATATATCTTCACTGCAGTCTAGCTCATTAATTCTAACTTTGACAGGACTGACTATATGCACGTGAACATGATCATGAGGATTCTAATGAGAAGAATGGCATTCCCGAAATGCTCTTGGATCTTACTATCTTTCTCACCAATATTCGCCATTTTATTTCATCCTTCTTCTTCTGTCTCCTCCTCCTCTGCTTGAAATTCCTGTTCAAACGTCAATCTTTCACTCAATTAATGCTCAAGGAGGAAGTGGTCGACTTTGCTCTCGTTTTGGTATAAAGGAAGTTATTTTTCAAAAAAAAAAATTGATATTTTTATAAGTAATTCTTTTTTGGTATTTGATTATCAAAAGATAAAAAAAGGGCAGTACGGTTGCACTAAGCTCCCGTTATGTGTGGGGTTTGGGAAAGGGCCAGACCACAAGGGTCTATTAAGAGGTTATTTCCACGGCTCAAACTCGTGACCTTCTAGTCACATAACACCAACCTTACCAATTACTTTTCCGAAAAAATATTTTTCATCACAAAGAAAAAATCCCACACTTATGGATGGAAGTTATTTTCCTTTATAACTGTCTTTAACTTTAACTTCATATTATCTATTTCATCTAACACTTGCACACAAATATTAATCTTTAATATTCAAAATTTCATCAAAACATTTATTTCGATTAGCTAATATTATTATTAATCTTTAAAATATATAATTTTTCAAAAAATATTTTTCATTCACTAAGCAAATATTCTACTGGTATCAGGCAAAAGACAAGCCCACAAACCTGCATAAAGGAACTCTACAAAAATCCGAATCAGCACAGAGGCGAGAATGCAGTTCCAAAACTTGCCACATTCTCTTGCAGTTTTTGCAGCCACCATAAACTCTCATCTTACATCCAGCAAAGTGACGAATGAGCAATTCTAGCCCTTTACATGCTGAATATTTACAAGGTGTTTGATCTTTTTTCAAGACCTTATCGCATGGACCAATGGTTCGACAACCATCTTTGCATATGTGAACTAGAGCCTCCATTGCCTCGTATAGTTGCATATACACTTTTCTCTCGTTGATTTTTCTCATTCTTTCCTTCTTCCTCTGCAAGCAAATTAGAAAAGAGTTCAACTACAGAACACTGACATGACAGTATAAGGAGATTATGTTATTAATTATCAGGTATAACTACAATTAGTTGTCTATAAAAAGTGGAATTATATAGTAATAACCTAAAAATAAGACAGATTGATTTAAGCTATATTCACCACAGCGTAAACAAATTTTACACTATAACGCAATTTAACAGGTTATAGTAGTAGGTAATTACTCTACTTTCTGAGTTACTATAGCATAATAGATATAAAGAATGACACGCATGGGCGAAGCTACATGTTATAAAGGGTGGTCAACTGACCACCCCTCGTCCGAAAATTATACTGCGTATATAGGTAAAATATTAATATTTTAGGGGTATATAACATATATTGAACACTCTTTCTTGGAGATTTTTTTTCACTTCTTTCAAGTTTGAACACTCTTGAGTAAATTCATGGTTTCGCCACTGATGACATGTTATTATAAGTCATTGTGATGGTGTAAGCAATTGATATATTGCGAGTGTGCAAAACTTAAACTACCTAATAAAACAGGTTAAAAGACACTGATAGAATGAACAATTTTTTGACGGTCAATGTAAATCCAGTTAGAGAGAAAAAAAACATAAACAGGATTGACATCATTTAGGATTCAACTTACAATATCCTCATCAGTTACAGATTTAAAAATCTGTTTTTCAAGCACAGGGTGGCTTTTTTTCATGGCTTCCCATCCTTGTGAGGAAGATATAGCCTTGAAATGTTTCAACATAAAACGGTGACAAAAGAGGCTAAGGCGAGGGGCATCACATAAAAGTGCAAGCTGAAAGATGTCAACCACATTGTCCGTAGTTATCAATCCTCGCTCCAGCAGCTGCCGCTCACATTCTCGCTTTAGATGGGGGACTACATATGCATGTGAGAGCATCAATAGATTCAGTGCATGTTCCTGCATTTTGTCTTCTTCATAGCTGCATAGTGCAATTGACATTTAGAGATAATCATGAAAAGGCAGATGCATAGTGATATATTTGAAGGAGAATCATTTTTACCTGGAAGAATACAAGAATCGGATGAAAACTTGAACAGATTCGGGTGGAACCCCACGTATAGAGATTGATCGTCGATGGCCTCGTGACTGTTTCGAGTTCAACATGCTTCTGAATACAGGAGAAGACATACCCTGAAATTAAAGAATCAATGTGTAGACTTTCTTGAGTTTAAGTTGCATACAGAGACGATATATAATTTATTTACACAATTAAGTGTAAGAATCTACCCTAAAGATGACTGGAATTACACTAATGAGTGTAAGATTTAGATTAATTCGAACAACTAGGATTGAATCTCGAATTTACCAGAATAGTAGCATGTGCATAGATGATGCCACCATTATCTGTATTAATTGAGAGATCAGCTCTGTAACCTTCATCAAAGAGGCAATCCCACGTATTCTTCGTAGCACTAAAAATGGAGCAGTGTCGTCTTCTTCGCATTGGTGATATGAACCTGCTCTCATACAAGTTAGTTGGCAATGGAGGCGGATTTGGTACTGTTCTTTCACAAGGAAATTCCTCATTCCTCCGATCCATTTGTTGATCTTGCCTTCTGCAACATTATGAAAAGAAACAACTGCAGTTAATGGTGAGTTGCTTAACGACAAGTGTTTACAGAAACAACCCCGTCCCTCGGTGTGAACCGATGGCCACGTTGCTTTAGCCGAATGTGTCAAGTCGTGCCCTTGGCACTATTACTTTGAAAAGATTAGAATGCTCAAAAAAAGCCTAGTGTCGTATACACCATAGGATATTAGTCCTAATGATTTGTTTAAAATTAGGCAGCAGGTGGATTAGTAATCCGTAGGTGAAACTCTTGAATTTATGAAAGACGAACAGCTAGAAATGCAGTAACACCAAGATGTTTTAGCTAACAAAGAGTTGTTGACCAAAAAGATTTAGACCTTTTGTTGAACCAATTAGATGAGAAAATTTTATGTAAATCCTAGCCAAGAAAATTTATCCTAGATCTAAAATAGAAGATATGATTAAGCAAACAATGCAAGCATAAGATTTAACTATAACTTCGAGTAAATCCCATTATATAAGAAGAGGATGATGGTTTTCATAATATTAAACAACAATAAAGAATACATAGATAAAAATGGTCACCGATCTTTAACAAGGTAGAACCACATACATTTGATATAATGAGACTAACGATATATATTGAGGATCTGAGCTTCTTTGCTTCTTCCTCCTTTGTGGGAAGAGAGAGATGAAGATCCCTCTTCTTCTCAGTGTAGATTTGTTTTTCTGTGTAGATTTGTTTTTCTTTTCTTTTTTGGCTTCTTCTTCTCACTTAGTTTATATACTAGGTCTTCTCGTTACCCAACAATCATTAATCATAGTACTTAAATCGTTTGATTATATTACAGGTTGACCCTTTGAAATGCCATAACATTCGCGTTCTGAATTGCGTATCGTTATAGCGTTGTATGAATACGACTTTGGCCCAAGTAACTCTTTGTCGTCTCTTTAAACGTTGATTCTTGTCTGGTCGGATTTTGACCCATAGAAGAGTAAGAATCAAATATAATTTGCTGTAGTATATATTACCTTGTTGTGTACCAAGCTGAAGACAACACAGCCAACAAAGATGAAGAAACTGGACTGCTTTCGAGTTACTTGGTTCACTTCCCAGTTCCCCTCTCTAATCCACCAAGATTTTTTGTAATGGTAGAAATTATGTACTACACATCAAATATAATATGCATTGCAGCTGTCAAATGCCAGCTTCTTCTTATAACTATTAAAAGCTCGAGCTCAAATGATTGTTGGGTTGATTATTTAAAGGCAAAAGGAACGATCCAATTTGATTTGGTGAACAAGTTGAGACTACAAGTTATATGTAAGACTTTAATGATATGATATCCGTGTCAGATCAAATGCAATGCCAATATTTTGGTATCTCTGGCCCTGTCGAGTATGTTAAACGTGCGGTGTTTTAAGCCATCAGTGGTCAATTTCCTTTGTATTTTTCTGTATTTTGTTTTTTTCATTACAATCCAAATTCAGTTGTTGCACGCGATTCACGCCTTTGCTCTCTCGCAATTATTACACCTACCAACACACTGTTCTTTCCAAATTAAGAAGTAGTATGATTTTATTTGATTTGATAACAGCTGGTTAGATCAATAAATACCTCTACTTATCACTTGCTATCTTTTAATCACAAACTAAATATTAAAAAATTTGTTAAATTATCGCGAAAATCCCCTGTTTTTCGGCTTGGAGTTAGCTATACATTGTTGCAAATAGATTTAAAATTTGTAACCAAAGAAATTAATGTCTTTATTTTCCAAACAATTGGGTCATTGCCTTTTAGGAGGAGTACAAAACTTGCATTTGGAATGTACATATTCTTTAAAAGCACTATGCAGACCACCAAAGGGCTCGAAAGCCCTGGGAATGAAAAAATAATGGCAGAGAGTGATTCCCCTTCCATGAGCTTTACGTGGTGCGAATCCAAATTAATCGCGACCCTAATACGAATACCTTACAACGGGGTGCGAACCAAAAAATAAAGCACAAAAGAGTACAAGGAAACAAAAAAGACGTAGATTATCTTGGTGGAATGAAAAAGATTGGTGAGATTATCAATATCATAGGCACATCACATAGGCTTGAAAACATACGAGACTTGGAGAAAGAATGAATAGTATGCCTACATCTAAATACTTTCTGTTGGGTGTTTCTTAATTTCAAGGGATATAGTTAATTTAAAACGAAATAATATTCCAATCGGTGGACGGAGAAATAACACAGCAATGTGCTTATGAGCTAAAACCAAGCGAACTAAATGACTAGACTATTATAGCATGTGCAAATATATGCGAAAAAAACTTCACCTACTTGGCAATAGATAAAACAGTGATAAACCATATATATATATTGAACAAAAACTTAAAGCAAAACTATGCTCATGATCAGCAGTTAAAATGGGCAGTCAACAGACTAATTGTTTGAAAGAGCAGCATTGTTTCTATGCACTGAAATTGATGTAAACTACAAGAAGTTGCTTTACAAGCTTGAGCATGACATCCTAAGCCCCAGATACTTTTGTTTCTTCAATACAAAGAAAACTAGGGAAATAGAAGAAAAGCTGGTATCTTACAACTGTGTTAGTGATGCTACAATGCACCAAGAATGGTCACTTCTTTTCCTCCTAGTTGAGGCAAGAGGTTTTTGTGCTACCACTTAGAGTGAGTTACTATGAACAGCTCCTCCTTCAAGTGATTGTACAAAATATCTGGCACCACTACTTCATGAACTTCATAGCTCTATCTTCTTTAAGCCTACAGCAATTGGCATGCCCAAGAACCCGAAAAATACGCTTAGGAACCATTGGCCAAATGAGAGGGGAGTGGTGTTGGCAAATGTCCCCAGATATTCGATGATTATGATTTGGAAGAAAAGAGTTGCACCAATAACTGTCACAAATACATAGTTATCCAGTATGCCTTCCCAAACCTCAACTTTTTCCATCTCTCGCGAGTTTACTTCGTTGAAAAGCTGCATTTAGAATCAAACAGATGTGTAATGTAAACCACTGAAGCTTGTCCTCCAACTGTATTTGATACTAGAAACCATATAATTATAGAAATGTTCTTTATAGTTTACCTGGCAGAAGACAAATGAGTTGAAAATAACTGTGTTGAGGGTAAGGTTAGCATCCGGGCCATCAAGACGGAAAATTGTTTTCCCATATACCTGAAGGAACCATATAATTAAGAACTGATATAAGGATTGGCCCAAGATATTCCTCCACATGACGTTGCTGATAAAATTTCCTTTCCTCCCTACTGGGGCTCTTTTCATTAGTTCATCATTAGGGGGCTCTGTAGCTAGAGCAAGTGCTCCTAACGTATCCATGATCATGTTGACCCACAGAAGTTGAACAGCAGTAAGGGGAGCGCTTCCTGAGGCATAGTTCAAGAAAAAGCATAGGAATGAGTGAAACATAGCATTTTGTTTGTCTATTCAGCAAATGTAATTAAACTCAGGAATGGTAAAAGAATGGTACAGCAGAAGAAAAGGCTCCTGACCTGTCACACAAGCTGAAGCGAAATTAACTACCAATGCAACAATATTAACTGTTAGCTGAAACTGAACAAATTTCTGAATGTTTATGTAGACTGAGCGTCCCCATTTGGCCACTGTAACAATTGTGGAGAAATTGTCATCCAGTATGATAACATCAGCACTCTCTTTGGCAACCTGAAACCAGAAGTCAATAATGTTACATCTCAATTTAACCGTTTGATCTGGCAAATTTTGCAAACAGAGTCAGTGGTCTTAGAAGCTCAACAGCTAAGTGGGACATAATACTATTCCTTTTTGTTTTTCTACAAAGTCAGACGGATATTCCCATCTTATTTTTCATGAAGTTCTTTTGATCAGGTAATAGTCCTTTTATTCCCTCACTAGCAAACAAAATTTTTCGGGGCAGTTGTTGAAAGCATTAGAATTGCGACCTACTTAACGAAGCATGATCCAAACAGTAAAATGCTAAAGCATATAGTGACTCAATGCTCCTGTTTTCTATTTACAGTCCTATGGTACTTATAATCCACAAATTGATTGTACCTTTAACCACATCACCCAATGAGATTTGGTACTTCATTAAGAATCCAGACAAGTAAAGGATTGTGGTGGGAATGAACTAAAAGAATGAAATAATTGTATTTACCTCAGTTCCAGCGATGCCCATTGCAAGTCCAATATCTGCTTCATGAAGTGCAGGAGCATCATTGGTTCCATCGCCAGTGACTGCAACAACTTCATTGAATGTTGTCCGCAACTGCTTTACCAATGTGTGCTTGTCTAGCGGTGAAGATCTAGCCATCACCTGAAGAAGTAAAAATGAATGTAGTCTTAAACTAGAAATCATACCAAGAGTAGAACTTTTCCAGAAGACTTCTCTGCTACAATGACTTCATTCTCTAGTAAACAGAACGAGTACAGTACCTGAATTTTGGGAATCACTTTTAGCATTTCCTCTTGACTCATTTCTCGGAAAACTGGTCCTTCAATGGCTATACCATCCTCTGTCAGTATACCACATTCCCTAGCTATGGCTTTTGCAGTATTAATGTTATCTCCAGTGACCATCCGAACAGTCACGCCTGCCGAACGGCAAAGTGCAACAGACTCCTTAACTCCAGGACGAACGGGATCCTTTATACCTACAATTCCTATACAAGTGTACCCAGAGATTGGAATATCGTCATCAGGAGAGAATCCATTTTCCAAATCCATATAGGCAAGACACAAGGTACGAAGAGCTTCAGTGGCAAACTGTTCAATGGTGGCGTTAAGATTATTTCTTATTGTTTCGTCCAAGGAAACAACGTCACCATTTGAGTTGATTACTTTGTCACAGGCAGCCAAAACTATTTCTGAAGCCCCTTTGGTATGAGCCCTTAAACCTCCTTCAGGAAGCTCAAGCACCACACCCATCCGCTTCTTAGTAGAGTTGAATGGCTCAGCTTTCACAAGTTTTCCTGCTTGTCGTTCTGCTTGAAAATCTCCACCAAGTGCTAAACCAAACTCCAATATAGCAGTCTCAGTCGGGGTTCCCAATATCTCATTCTTCTTGCCCTTGGTAGCTACAACTTCTCCACCAGTGTTGTTAAAAATCGACTGCAGCAAAGTTTTGAGTGCAGAATTTGGCATTTCTGAACAAAGTGCAGATGCATCACCTGGTTTGCTCACATCTTTGGCATCCATACAGAAGCATGTTTTCACTACCGTCATGCGGTTGGTTGTTAGCGTGCCAGTTTTGTCACTACAGATGGTTGTAGCTGATCCCATTGTCTCACAAGCCGCTAGATTGCGGACAAGTGCCTTATCATTCATCATCTTTTTCATGGCAAAGGCAAGGCTTAATGTCACAGCCAGGGGAAGTCCCTCTGGAACTGCAACCACCACAATAGTCACTGCAATGGCAAAGTATTCCAAGACTTCCAGTGCTTCTTCCCCGGACCAGCTCCAGTGGGATCCCTCTTGCAGTTTTCGGCCAAACATCTTCTGCAAGAGTACTGCAAAAGTGACAACAGCAAAGAAAAGGCCTATTTTTCCAATGATTGTTGCCACTCCATTCAGTTTAACCTGTAATGGAGTTTCATCATCTCCGCCTTCACTGAGAGTCGCTATCAGTTTTCCCCACTGAGTCCTCATCCCAACTGTTGTAATCAACATCTTGCAGGATCCATCTTGGACCTTGGTTCCAGAAAGAAGAAAAGGATTCTGAGCATTGACCATTACTGGCTCACTTTCTCCAGTCAAACTGGATTCATCAATTAAAACAGAAAATCCTGAAAGAAAGAGTCCGTCAGCAGGGACTTGATCTCCTATCGCAAGATGAACTATATCACCAGGAACTAGATCATATATGGACAACTTTTGTCTGTATCCGTTCCTAGTAACCTGGATACATATTTTCTTCTTCTCTTTGTCAAGGTCTCTGAACTGCAAGGATTGACGATAATCACTTGTTGCTGTAACAAACACCACCAACAAAATACTAGCAACAATACCAAGACCATCAT